TAACCTTTACTTTTTCACACTTCAATTGTTTAAATAGCGTTCGTTACTTTTTATCGCATTTTTTTTTCCTCTCATCTATAATTAGATATGTTCAATAGAATAACTTAATTTACAATATATATTAATATTTAATTCATACTTATTATATAAGTATTGTTAACGTTTAATGATTTCTTTTTTTTTTTCGAACGTTTCAGTGACAATCGATTTTGAGATAAGAATCGATGCTGAGCAGTAAATATTTGATCGAAAGGAAAGAAGAAAGAAGAAATAAAAAAAGAAAAAAGGAGAAAAAAGGAAGAACTAAACGACGTGCGTGTCCTACGAAAGGCACGCGCTTCTAAACAACTATATATATATATACGTACATATATATATATACATTCATATATATATATATATATATATATATATATATATATATATATATATATATATATAGTATGTATTACATACACAATAGAGACGAGGATCTTCCGTGCGAACGGTCGAGAATAAAAGCCGTTCTTTACTCCTTCGATCGTGAATACTGCACCTGCCACACAACGATCGCGTCATACAAGAGAGAGAGAAAAAGAGAGAGAGAGAGAGAGAGAGAGAAAAAGAAGCTATAAATAATGATCCCAAATTATTTTTAGCAGTAGACATGCCGCCAAGAGAGTAAAAGAAAAAAAAAAAAGGAAAATCATCGTTCAGAGATGAACACGTTGAGTACCGGTAAATGATTGTTTTCAAGACGGTGTTATGTTTGTTGGTAGTCGAGTTAATTGTCCAATAAAAATGGTCGGTGATTGGTCAGTCAAAAGATACTCGTTCGTTTATTCAAGTCTACTCGATGTTAGCCAAACGCTTGAAAACCTGATCGTTTGGTTCAGTTCGGCTCGGTTTGGTTCGATTCGATTCGGTTCGGTTCGGTTCGGTTCGTTTCGTTCGGTTCGGTTCGGTTCGTTCGCTTACTCAGAGTTTGTTGACTCTCGGTTTCAGCACGCCAGCTGACCATGACCTCGCCGAACGATCCGCGAAGTAATACCGAGGCGATTCTACCGCCACCGCCACCACCGCCATCACTACCACCACCCGTTGGGGGACGTCGTCGTCCTCGTTGCCGCTTGTCTCACTATCTCTTTCTCTCTCTCCTTTCTTTTTCTTTCTCTTTTCTCTCATCCCACATATATGTACGTATTTATTATATATATATATATATATATATATACATATATATATGTGTATATAACTTTTGCTACCGATAGCAGTAATGATACTGCTACCGTTGCTAAAGATAATTCTCATCCTCTAATCTATATTTACATGCACATTTTCTTCCTTGTACGAGTCAATGAAGTGATTATAAAAGTGATCCAAATCCAAAATTATTTTATTTTAAATTAGTTTTTCACACAATTAAGGTATAATAATATATCACTATGGTATTATTATATATTATGTAATTATATATAATTATGTATATTAGATATATTATATAGTTGTAATAATCTAAGTATTGTATAATCATTGTATAACATTATTGTAAATGCAGGGTATTTTTTTTTTCTTAGAACAATTTCACAATCACTGGCTCATATATTTATATATATATATATATATATATATATATATATATATATATAGATACGCATACGTATGGGTTATGTATATGGGTGCACACACACACATAAACATATATATATATACGTGTATATGCAGAGTATGATGCAGTCGGTTATACAATCCTCTTTAACAATTCGCACGTCCTTTATTACCACGTGTATCTCGACGTTTATCTCAAAGTCTCTCTCGATTATTACCACGTGTGATTATTACCTCGAAGTTTTCAAGGTGAAATTTACTTTGATAATGATTTTCGAATATCATTGACAAGAATATCTCATGTATTTCATAGGATAAATTATTTATTGTTTCGTTATTGATAATTAAATAATATTAATTAATTAAAAAAATATTTACATATTTGTTACTACGGTAAATTAATTCCATTTTGATTATTAAATTATCTAGGATACAAAAACATTTTATTCGAAAATTTGTATCATAGGAATATTCGTTTGCTAATGTATACATATATGTCCTTGGATGTACATATACGTATGGACAATATAATTATTTATATAAATGAGATATCGACAATTATCGAAAATTTCAAAATTTGTACAGAAATATCTGTTATAACAAACTTGATAGAGGACATTACGAAAATTTCAAATTTTTGTATACACGAGATATATATTATATTATCTAAATAACTTTCTAAATATAGAAATGTATTTGTTAGAGACTTGGTATATAAGGTAAACATTATATACAAGGTTACAAGTCGTCTAAACGTGATATAGACAAAAACATATTGAAATTGAAAACTCGTAAATTTAACGTATTCGTTGATATAGTATTAGTTAAGAATTATACACATCAATTTGAAACTGTTTTTATGTGTAATATTATCTAAAACAAAAAAAAAAAAAAAAGAAAAGGAAAAAAAACACGAACATTAAATCTTTTAGAAATTTCTATAGAAATATCCACTGGTAATATTGATAAAACATACATGAAATTAAAATTATGTAATTATGTAAATATTATTATTTGATACACATATAATTATTTAAATAAAAGACTAAAAAAAAAAGCAAGAAAAAAAAGGATATTTATTTAATCGGAAAACATACAAAAATATCTATTCGTTGGTATATATTTCGTACATTTGACTCGAAGGGAGATAATACACAAGATTAAAATTGTATGCATTTTTGTTCGTTCGTTCGTTCGTTCGTGTGTGTGTGTGTGTGTGTGTGTGTGTGTGCGTGCGTGCGTGTGCACGCGTGTGTGTGTGAAAACTATTGTCCCTGAGGTAACATGTAAAAAAAATATGAATCTCTGAAAGCGTATCTAGGGCGAAGAACATCGATCGTAGGATCTGGGTCAGAGCTTGCATGCAACTCTGCTTGAAAGTGTGCGCCAAGTGCAACGCCGAGTGTAGTTGGTCGCGCGAAGCACATTGCACCAATCATAGTAAAAGAAGAAGAAGAAGAAGAAGAAGAAGAAGAAGAAGAAGAAGAGTAGAGTAGAATAGAACAGAATAGAATAGAGTAGAGTAGAGTAGAATAGAGTAGAGTAGAGTAGAGTAGAGTAGAACAGAGTACAGTAGAGTAGAGTAGAGGAGAAGAAAAGTACATTATGTATGCATGTATACCTGTATGTATGTGTGTGTATGTGTAACGCTTGCGATTTCATTTAGTTCAAAAAACAAAGTTTTACCTCAGCATACACGATTCTCTCTTTTATTATTTATTAAATCTACGCGAGTCATCGGAAACCTCATATAAAATGATTCTAATCGCTAATTCAAATGAAATATTTCGTTACGGGCATACGTTTCCTAGAAACTTTACAAGGAAATAGAGAAACTTTCTTTTTTTCTCTCCTTCCCTAGTTTCATTCCTTTTTCCTTTTGTATTTTTTTCTTTCTCTCTCTCTCTCTCTCTCTCTCTCTCTCTCTCTCTCTCTCTCTCTGTCTCTTTATTTTCCCCTTCCCCCAACCCCATCTGGGAATATATCAACGAGAGTATGTTACGATAGTGGGACAGACATTACGCTTAGAGGACAGCTAAAAGTAAACTTAAGCGTGCATTTCTCGATCGATCCCCTTTCGAGTTCCAACAAACAATTCGATTCGTTAAATAATTACTAACTTTGAGATTACACTTCGAATGAAATTTTCAATCGAAGTTGCGTGAAATAAAAGTTTTCAGATTCCTTAAGTATTAAGTTGCACTTAATATATCAATTATATACTTATTAAAGTTATTAAAGTAATATAATCTTTAGCTTATATATATATATATATATATATATATATATATAAAATATATATAAATTTCAGATTACTTATAATATTTGATTAGATAAGAAAATAGAACGTGATTTATGAGGAATTAAAATGTATCAGAAAATTGTATTTGTAATTGGAGAAATATAAGGAAAAAGAAAAAGAAAGGAAAGAAACAAAAAAGAGAAAGACGGAGAGAGAGAGAGAGAGAGAGAGAGAGAGAAAGAAAGAGAGAGAGAAAATCGTGTAACGGTTAGAATCTTTTGTTTGCCAAAATGGCGGCCGATAGAATTCTAATCCTTCGTAGGATAGATGCATGCGCGAGAGAACATGTATGTATGTATCTATGTATATGTGATACATATATTGCGCAAGAAACACGTGCGTGTAAAGAGATAAAGAGAGAGAGGGAGAGAGAGAGAGAGAGAGAGAGAGAGAGAGAGAGAGAGAGAGAGAGAGAGAGAGAGAGAGAGAGAGAGAGAGAGAGAGAGAGAGAGAGTGAGTGAGTAAGTGAGCGAGAGAGAGGAAGAGAGATATAGAAAGCTGTAAAATCGATCGTTCGCAACGCATCTCTATGTTCAACGCGTGACCTAGCGACGCTCCTTCATGGCGGACATTCGTATTTGATCGCCCGAATCTTCAACGTCTCTATATATGCACAGAAAAAAGATTTCACTAAACACAATAATACATATATATATAAATATATAAATATATATATATATACATATTTATATATAAATATTTACGTATGTACGTATGTACGTATGTATGTATGTATGTATGTATGTATATATGTATGTATGTTTGTGTATTAACGATAATAATAAAAATAATAAAATAGAACGCTAACGCGATAACAAAATGGCGGATAAATTGAATCGAAAGGACAACGTTAGTCAAAGTTTATAAATGTAAACAAAGCTTTAACTAAACAAAAAATGAATATATAAATAAATAAGCAAATGGAATAAAAAAATGTTTACCGAACTAATAAGTATTTATATATATATATATATATATATATATATATATAAAATAAATAAATAAAAAAAGAGAAAAAAATTGATAAACATTGAAACAGTGTTCGCACGTGTGTATGGATCTAAATATAGGGTGGACCGAAAAAGTTTCTAGGTGATTAAAAAAAAAAGTCTTAAGTATTCTATTTCCAGACTTTTTAGGTTAATTAAGTTAGTAGTTGCAGTTTTATATATTAAAAAAGAAACAAAATAATCAGTCTACAAAAACGTATCGAGATTGAACGATCGATTTTTCTTCTTTTATATATCACTTAGAAAACTTTTGTCCCATCCTATATAAGTGTGAACAGTATCGTCTTATGCCAAATTCAAAAATATTTATTATACATTTAAAAATGATTATGCAACATATTGAAAATATTGAAATATGTGTGTTGCACGTGCCCACGCACACACAGAGAAAAAGTGAGAGATTTGAAATGAACGAAATAAGCGACCTGAACGATTCGAATTCGTAACTAAAAGAATGCGACTGCAAGTAAAAGCAGGGATGGCAGTAGTTAAGCTGTGCGAATATCGAGCGACCCGTTTCAGTTTCCCTTATTCTTGGTAACAACTCCGCGCAGTCCTATTTACCGCTTGCTACGCTTTTTCATTCCGAACGAAAGCGAGAATGGGAAAAGCGAAGAAGAGGAAAGAAGAGAAGAGAAGAGAAGAGAAGAGAAGAGAAGAGAAGAGAAGAGAAGAGAAGAGAAGAGAAGAGAAGAGAAGAGAAAAGTAGAGAAGGGAAAAGAAGAAGAAAGAAGAGGTAACAGGGAAGACTTGAAAATTTCAATACCAGACAGAGATCTATACATAACATGTATGGGAATTAAAATGATTTCATTCTTACGATCGGATGATGTATATATGTATATATGTATGTAGGCAAATGACAACCGGAAATGAAAAGAGAAATCTAATTATAAGAGAACGAAAAAGAAATGATATATCGAACGTAAAAAAAAAAAAAAAAAAAAAGTAATAATAATAATAATAATCACGATTCAAATGTTAAAACGAGTTGAAATTCGTTCATCGATCTTATTTAAAGTTGATAATACAAATGCATTCGTTCGAATTGAAGAGAGAGAGAGAAATTTTATTTCAAAATTTTATTAGTAGCCTTTATTATCCGATAAAAATACACGCGTCTGTATGTTTTTTTATTTAATAATTTTTTTTCTTTTGTTTTGTTTATTTTATTTTTTTTTTTACAACGTATAACGAAGAGAGAGAGAGAGAGAGAGAGAGAGAGAGAGAGAGAGAGAGAGAGAGAGAGAGAGAATGAAAATCGTTTTTACTAATTCGCCATCCGTCATATTTGTGCGTATTTAAATAATTATTTCCATTCTCTGTGTGACAGTTAACTGTAACAATACCACTTTTGATATCCATATTGAAATGACAATTAAATTTGCATGCCACCCCTACTATTACGGGGGTAGAATTGATGAGTAATTCAAATATGTACGTAGACGACCCACATTGCGAATTTGGAAATGACGTGCGCCAAGTTATTTACGTATCGCGTTGTTCCTGTACGACGAAGTATAACGTGCATAATATACACTAAGGAGATTAATTGACATGAATTTCAACTTTGAGATTGGTAAGCGTCAATCCAATTAAATGCAATAAGCGACCGCTTCGTTTTAGTCTTCTAATGCAATTATCAAAGTTTCTCTCTCTCTCTCTCTCTCTCTCTCTCTCTCTCTCTCTCTCTCTCTCTCTCTTTCTCTCTCTCTATCATTTTTTTTCCTTTCTCACATTTTAAATAATAAAATATACCTTAAAAATGTAAGTATATATATATATATGTATATAAAACATCTGCATAGATTAAAATCATTCTTTAAACTGATTATATGTACATATAAATTTATTTAGATAAGAATTTTTTTATTAACAATATGATTGCAAATAATAAGATACAATGGAAGGTTGTGACGTCAGCAATTTAGTCAAAGATAATAACAATAGGTGCAATAACAAAAATTAGAAATACATTTTCACGTTTGGAATGTGAAATTCAATAAAGTTCAATGGAGAGTATTAATCGTTTCACATATATGTATACGTGTATATGAATGTGTCTGTTGAGAGTTACACAGAAATGTCTATCAATTTCTTTTTCTAATAGAAAAAAAAAAAAAAAAAAGAAAAAAAAAAGAGAAAAGGATAGAAAGAAGAAAGAAGAAAAGAGAAATCCAGAAATACTTTGAAAGGACGTTGCCCTTATAACTGATATCAGTTTTTCGTACACGATCGTGACGTGCGAGGAGAAACGTTTTTTCAGCCGTTTGAGTCGTTCAAGAAGGTACGTGTTTGGCCTATTATTCGTCTCCCCACGCCATTACCTAGTCGCCATACATCCGACAACGCTTGGCACGTAGGCCACCCTTAGTTTAGAATTGTGTAGACAAAATCACAGTACCGACATCTGTTGAAATATTTTTTTTGTACGGTCGGTAACTTGGACCTTACAAAGCTTTATATTATCGACATAATTATTATCCATATATCGATAACGAAGAACTCAGATATAACCGACGGAAGCAAAAGAAGACAATTATCATTATCGACGCGGTTCTTGTCTAAGATAAATTTGCCGATAAAAATGTTATCCTTATT